ACTAAAGAAATTCTTTATTTAAATTCATACCTGAGAATCGGGGCGTTACAATTTTCCCTCACTTGAACTAGACTTCGCCCTCGAAGTCCTCTGGAATAAACAACGTTGGTCTTTAAAATCTAAAGTAAAAGTATATTACATTTTTAAAGGAAATAATCTAAACGAAAGGTGTATTATACTCAAATACAAACATGTGGATATTAAGATCTTTAAAACCCGAGATCATATGAAGAAGTTACGAAGTTCAAAACACAAGACCTAAACTAAAACATAATACCGAAATAACCAAACAGCCAAGGTCGCGATGGCCATGGGTACCAACAACCTCAAAGACATTATTAATGATTGTTCCACATGTGATGTCGTCAGCAAAATCTAAAAAACCGAGCACAATAACTGAATGTGTAAAAAGCAACGAATTATTTTGCACCAAAAAAACATTGTTGATTAAATATGTACAAATATATTACCCTATTAAATCATTTTTCCGGTTTACCTAAAGTAACCTGTTATATATATATATATATATATATATATATATATATATATATATATATATATATATATATATATATATATATATATATATATATATATATATATATATATATATGGTTAGGTTAATGTGAGACGTCCTAATTTTGTGATACCGTGAGACGCATTTTTTTAATTATTTTCTTTTTTTTATTTTTTTTAGTTAATTCAAGTTCCGAAAATAATATTTAAAAAAAAAAGAATTTTTGGATTTTTCCATTTATTTTGCATTTTAAAATTATTTTTAAGAATATGTCAGTGTAATATTCTATTAGAATATTTCACGTATTTTTCAAAAAAAAAATGGAATTTATTTTTATTATTTATTATTTTTTTTTAGTTAATTCAAGTTCCGAAAATAATATTTAAAAAAAGAATTTTTAGATTTTTCCATTTATTCTGCATTTTAAAATTATTTTTTAGAATATATCAGTGTAATATTCTATTAGAATATTTCAGTTATTTTTCAAAAAAAAAAAAAACGAATTTTTTTTTAGTTAATTCAAGTTCCGAAAATAATATTTAAAAAAAGAATTTTTGGATTTTTCCATTTATTTTTCATTTTAAAATTATTTTTAGATTTGATCTCACGGTCTCACAAAATTAAAATGGTTTCAAATGAATCTGAACATATATATATATATATATATATAAACAAGTTAAATGATAGATATGGATAAAATAAAATAAAATTTAGTGACTAAATATGTAAAATAAAAGAAATGTAATACATAAGTCATTTTCAAACCCTTAAAATTATTCTAAAACAAATGTAATACATCAGTCATTTTCAAACCCTTAAAATTATTCTAAAACCACCGGTTCAATTATGAAAACCGGATTTGATTTGTCGACTCAAGCGCCTTGGGGCATAAAAATGTTAATAGGGATCTTTATTCCATGATATTTAGATTTATTAGGCTAACATGTAAGGGGGCCACCATTCAGCTTCTTTGTGAAAAATGACTTTGGGTGCTTGAAAGTTCCGGTCAATGTTTTAAAACTCGCATTTTTTATTGATCCGGTATGATGATCGGTTCAACGGGTCAACTGGTTCAACCGGTTGAACCGTCGGGTCAACCCGGTGTATGGTCTTTTTCTATTTTTATATATTTTTATTTTCATGTATAATGCATAAACATATAAAACCAATAATTTAATGTCCACAAAGTTTATATATTTAAAAACATTGAAAAACATTAAAGAAACCGCAAACGGCTCGTTGTTTTAGCATTCGCTACTTGTTTCCAACTATCCAAACCCTATTAAAAACGGATCAATCCGGTTTTAACCGGTTCGACATAAGCGGTTGAACCGCGGTTTAGAGGAAACCCGGCCGGTTCGATCCGATTTGTATTTTTACAAAAAAACGATCTCAATTGACCCGCCTTCTACCCCGGGTCACGGTCCAACCGGTTGAACCGGCCGGGTCAATCGGGGTTTTAAAACATTGGTTCCGGTGTAAGCTATGGTTAGTTTTTGTCTGTAAAACTTTTTAACATTTTATGTTTGTGCGATGCAGATCACGCATAAATATTAGCCTTCACAGATTGTTTGTATTTTTGAAGACCTGCAGACCTAAAAATGTCTGTACGTCCTCTTCTTGGTGCAATTGTAGACCGTAGTCTTTTAACATCTTACTTAAAAAAAACACATATATCTTTATTTTTTTAGTTTTTTTGAATTTATATTTATTCCAACTTTATTAGTGAAACAATTTGAAAAAAAAAAGTTACAATATTTAAAAAAAAAAAAAAAGGTTCAAGGACACAACCATAATATTTTTGACAAATTTATAAATAAAAATTTATTACAATAATGGTTGTTGAAGTTGCTTATATAAATATGAAAAAAAAAAATCATAATACAATTTTATATTTTTTGTGTCAAATTTTATAAAACAATATTTAATACAGTATCATCAATTTCTTGAAAAAATAATTACGACACGTTTTTAATTGATTTAATTGAAAAAATCGAAGTTTATTTCCATCAATTTATGTATCAAATTATTTGATTCTTAATTACAATGTTTAGGTATAACTTTGCGATCAAAACTGTTGGTTTTTATCAAATATACACGATAATTTGTACCATTTTTATTTTCACTTTTTATACAATAATATATAAAAGTTGATATAGATTTGTTAATTATTTATAACAAAGTCATAAAAATATTTAAAAATCACTTTGAAGTTTTAAAAAAATCAGTTTATTTAGATTTTAGTTTATTTTAATAGTCTGCAGATGTTAAAAAAACAAACATTCTTCTTTTTTTAGACTGTAGACGTTTGGTTTACCTCTTCTGCTGCAGAGATCTATAGATACGGTTCACAAAGTGTAAACATTTTGCCTTAGAAAAAACAACCACCTAAGAAGTTAGGCTGTTAGGGCACGCATTTAAGGACTGTATGCAAATTTACAAAAATGGGTCCGCATAATATAAAATTTACAAAAATTGTCCTTTTATTTTTTAAACTTATTGAAAGATCCCTCACCTAATCGGGAATTTACAAAAATGGTCCTCGTCTTTCATAAAGTTGTAGAAATGGTCCCTACCTATTACCGAATCGACATAGATTGTCGATCTTTTCATAAGAGTACATAAATGGTCAATATATATAACAAAATAACAAAAAAGGCCTTATATAATAATAGAATTACATACACGGGCCTTATGTTCCATAAAATTACATAAATGGTCATTGACTAGTTATGAAATAATAGGAATGCTCCTTTATCTTCCAAAATTACTAATTTAGTCCCTATCAAATTAGCGATTTTATAGACATGATCCCTTGCTTCACATAAATTACAAAAGTTGACCTTATATAAGAGACCATTATAAAAATAATGTAAATAATATATTATTAAGGGAAAATGACTTAGGAGGGTAACTATCTCTTATCCGTGTTCACATATTGGCAACTTCTTCTTTTTTGTACATAATAAAACAACTAACTTGTTTTAACTGTTTAAATTACACCAATATTACCGATTAATACCTGTTTTAACCGGTAACTCAAAGGGAAAATGACTTAGGAGGGTAACTACCTCTTATCCGTGTTCACATATTGACAACTTCTTATTTTTTGTACATAATAAAGCAATTAGCTTGTTTTAACTGTGTAACATCCCAAAAATCATGAACAAAAATTCCGTTTTTAATTTAATACTAAAACCAAAATTGTCAAACTATTAATTTAATACTTCGGCATCGGGCTCCGCCCGACATCAGGCCCCGTCTGGCATCGAGCCCCACTCGGTATACAGATCTGTCTCTCTTAGGCCCCGCCCACTGAACACATGTAATCATATAACATGCTAACACATAAAGAAACATACTCTACCGTATCCCTGTCCTAAGAAAAATACTCTGCTAATAATGAGATATGGAACTTCGTCCGTACTCAACTAGTTCCAGCCAGGGCTGCAGCAGTGCAAGGTGAGTCTCCTCACTGTGTGAATGGGTCTAAGGCCACAATGTCATCCCATGTAGTCTATGAGTAGGAAGACCTGGGGGTTAGCCCTAGACATTGTATGCTAGTATGTTATTCCAGACCAAGGTCCGATGCCGGGCAGATGCCCGAGGAGTGTTTGCATGTTAGATTATACTTGTTGTCTGTGTGATACTTGTATGTGTCTGGTAAGGAGGTGAGTGTGGGCGATATCCCATATCTCATCACTAGCTGAGTACGGATAATGTTCCGTATCTCATTATTAGCAGAGTATGTTTCTTAGAACAGGGATATAGTAGAGTATGTTTCTTTATGTGTTAGCATGTTATATGATTGTATGTGTTTAGCGGACGGGGCCTAAGAGAGACAGACATGTATACCGAGCAAGGCTCGATGCCAAACATGGCCTAATGTCGGGCGGGGCCCGATGTCGGAGTATTAAATTAATAGTTTGACAATTATAATTTTAGTATTAAATTTAAAACGAAATTTTTGGTCTTGATTTTTAGGATGTTACACAGTTAAAACAACTTAGTTGCTTTCTTATGTACAAAAAATAAGAAGTTGTCAAAATGTGAACACGGATAAGAGGTAGTTACCCTTCTAAGTCATTTTCCCTTTGAGTTACCGGTTAAAACATGTATTAGCCGGTAATATTGGTGTAATTTAAACAGTTAAAAAAAGTTAGTTGCTTTATTATGTACAAAAAAGAAGAAGTTACCAATATATGAACACGGATAAAAAAGATAATTACCCTCCTAAATTATTTTCCCTCTTATTAATCAACCCATCCGTCGCAGTGCCTTCCGGTTTCCACTTTATAAAAGTAAATAACAAGAACATGTTTCTTGTGGTCAAACCAATAATAAACCTTTTGGGCCTAAGAATATTAAATATAGTGATCGGTGATATTTGGAGCTATTGGGCTAAACATGTTAGGTGGCCCAAAAACTAGAAAAAACCCGGTCTAAAACGGTGTTGAATATTCTCAGCAAACCGCCCGGTCCACTGTTAGCTTCTTCTGTGAAAGATGAACAGGTGATGTTGAGTTTGGACTTTGGGCGCTTGAAAGTTCCAGTGGAAGAAGTTAGGGCACGCTTTCTCCCTCTTCATCGTCGTCAAGTTTTTTCTGATAAAAATTGTGAGTTAAATAGAGCAAATGCCGTTCATATCGCAAACGCAGAGGCAATCAGATTACAATCTCATACCTGCAAGCTGCCCAATCGTCATCGACAATGGCGCATCTTATTTCAGAATTGGGTAAAATTAAAATTTTCTGATAAAAGTTTGATATTGGTCTTAAAGCTACTTGACACATCATTTGTACTGTACATGCGTTCGTGAGTGTGTTGATATTGCTATTATGTTCGTGTGTGCTGGTTGTAGATGGGCAGGCGAAAGTGAGCCTCGGATCATCTTTCGCAACATTGTTCAGAGACCTCGCCACAAGATAACCGGTATACTAACTCCTATTTTACAAGTTTGTGTTGATTGTGTGATTAATTGCGATGAAACACTTGTTCTCTTCCCGACCTTCTTATACTCATTCCATTTCGTCATTCTCAGGAAATGCCATGCTTTGATTTTGAAAATTCAAATTCTTTTCTTTCCCCGCTGAAGTTAATTGATTTTTGTGTGAAATATTACATGTTTATTATTATTTTTTCATTACTATGTAGTGACACATTGAAAAGAGATATTGGTAAATTAATAACATAATGTACATCCAATTAAGATTTCATAAGCAGAAAGTTTGTCATAAGTCTACACACATAGCTTCTTTTAATGATTGTAGTAACACATTGGAAAGAGATATTGATAAATGAGGGATGATGGATGGAAGATGTCTCATGAGCTACATTGAGGATCTCATTTTCTTTAGGGTTTTAACAACAGTGCACTTTTTTAGAGAATTCTTGTTAAGATTTTTAGAGAATTGATTCAAGAACGTATATGACAATGTGGAAAAATTTCATATGTTAGTAACCATTTTTTCTTTTTTCTCATGCAGGAGAAACAGTAACAATTGTTGGTGACCATGATCCTGCTTTACTAAAGTACTTTGATTGCACCCGTTCTGGACCACGTTCAGCATTCGATAATGATGTTGTCTTCCAGTTTGAGATAATGGAATATGTAAGCTTTTCATCTTTAGTAATGCTTCAGTTAACCATGAAAACAATCTTAAAATTGCAGATTTGTATGATTTTGTTTAGTTTTCTTTATCTCTGGTAAATAACCTTGGTTGCTTTTTCCTTGTAGATTCTTGACTTTGCATTTGATAGATTAGGGGCAGATGAATCTCCGGTACATCTGCATACTTATTTTGTTCCTTTCAAATTGTCATTAGATCATATATATAAGTATATAACCATGACATGCATATTTCTAGTTGTATTGCATTTGCTAACAATTTGTTATTTTCTTTGTCATTGATGTCAGAACAGATTAATCATCCTATCCTCATTACAGAATGTGCATGCAATCCAGTACAATCACGTAGTAAAATGGCTGAACTTTTATTTGAAACATATGGGGTTCCTTCTATAGGTATGAAACATATGATATTCATTATTTGTTTATTTTTCTTATTTTAACCATCTTTATTTCTCAGCTTTTGGTGTGGATGCTGCTTTCAGCTATAAGTACAATCAAAAACTTGGAATTTGTGATAGAGATGGTCTTGCAATTTGCTCAGGGTTTTCCACAAGCCATGTGATCCCTGTATGTGTGTGTATATATTATATAATACTGATATTTATATATATATATATATATATGTGTGTGTGTGTGTGTGTGTGTTTATGTAATTTTTGGTTATGTAGACAGTTTGACAAAGTTTCTCTTTACTCCATTGTCTGATTTGAATTCAGTTTATCAATGGAGAGCCTGTGTATGAAGCATGTTGTCGTACAAATGTTGGTGGTTATCATGTGACTGATTACCTAAAGCAACTTCTATCACTTAAATATCCACATCACATGTGAGAATAGACTTTCTTGTTTCCTTGTAATCATGTTTGAGACTTCCATGAGTATCTTTTGACATCTTGGAATGTATAAAACAGGGCAAGGCTTACATGGGAAAAAGTAGAAGATTTGAAAATGGAACATTGTTATATCACCCTCGATTATGCTTCGGAAGTTAGATTGTTTCAGGTTTTATGATATCATCAACTCTATATTTAATAATTCTTCCCTCTACTCTTCTAGACTTAACAAGCTTTCTAGGGCTATTTTCAAATTATTAGAATGGTGAGGACATTATCGTCCTTTGCACAAACGAGAGATTGAGTCTCTGTAAAAAAAAATCAAATTTTGTCCCATTCACATCAGTCCCACTCCCGGTCTGTAGTACAATCATGGCATTTACTTTATCTTATTGTCTCATAAGTACAACCTGTTCTGTCATGTCATGTCATGTCTAATGTCAGTACAACCTGTTCTGTCATGTCATGTCAGTACAACCTGTTCTGTCATGTCATGTCAGTACAACCTGTTCTGTCTTGTCATGTCATATCAATGAATCTTGTTAGTACAACATTCTGTGTCCTGTCCTGTCAGTACAGCCTGTCATGTTATGTCATGTCCTGATTGGAATTTAATATTACAGAAAGGGGGAAAAGAAGCTGAAGAGAAGACAAGGTGTTGGCAACTTCCATGGACACCAACACCAGTGGAAGAGCCACCTTCAGAAGAGGAGATTGCTAGGAAAGCAGCCTTAAGGGAAAAACATGGCCAAAGGTTACGGGAAATGGCTGAGGCAAAAAGATGTTCAAAAATTAATGAATTAGAAAATGAATTAAAGGGGTTGGAGTTTCTTATACAACAACTTAGACATGTAAATGGAAATGATATTCCATCTTTCTTGGCTGAGACTGGTTATATTTCTAAGCAAGAAATTGAATCTGCTATTGTTAAAGTAACACAATCATTAAGGAAAGCTAAAGGAGAGCAAGATGAGATTGAAGAGAAACAAGATCCTTCTGCAACAGAAAAGTATACCCTCATTGATATTCCTGACAATATGCTAACCCCAGAACAGGTATTGTGATTCTGACAAAATTGGATTTTGAAATTCCATTTCATCTTTCTTTTAATAAAAGACCAAAATACCCTTGTTATATAAGTGAAAAATATAATATATATATATATATATATATATATATATATATATATTCAGTCTTTGTTATTGAATCCCATTCCTATTTACAATTACTTTTACAAATTCCATTCCTTAATAAACATTAACACCACCCTTAGTCTTTTAATCTGTATTCTTTGTAAGCTTGTATGGAATTAGCTAACTTTGGAATATATAATATTTGTGGTTTAATTAATAGATCAAGGAAAAGAAAAGACAACTATTTCTTAAAACCACATCAGAAGGAAGACAAAGAGCAAAACAAAAGCGTTTTGAAGAAGAATTAGAACGTGAAAGGCGTAACAAGGAGGATGAACAAAGACGCCTGTATGTTATCTAGACCTTATCTTTCTGAAAACACATATCAATGAACCTATAATTTCTATTTTTGGCTAAATGCAACAAATAACAATGTTCTTCTATTACAACATTATACTTATCAACACATTTTTTTACTATAAAAACAATTGTTTTTCAAACTAGATTGCTGTAATATGAAGTAATGAAAGTATGATGATGTATAATCAACAAAAGGGCAAATTACAGAAGAATCATAATAGTTTGGGGAATTTTACGGTTTAACCACTTATACTTAATTTTTTTCCAATCAAAACATAAAAATTTAACATTTTTTTGAACTAACCATTTTGACCTGATGACAAGTCAAAATGGTTAATTTGAAAAATTAGTTGTGAAACTGATATATACCAGGTCAAAGTGGTTAGTTTGAAAAAAAGTCCAAAACTTTTGTAATTTAATTGGAAAAAGTGAAGTATTTGTAGTTAAACTGCAAAACTTCCCACAATATAATAGGTCTTTTTTATAAAAAAATATTTTTATCTGTTTTTTTTGTGGTTTGCCTCGAACAAAATAATGAAAGTACATTGCTATTTTTGGCATTAATTTGAAAAAAGTCTGAAACTTTTATGGTTTGATTGGAAAAATTAAGTATTAGTAATTAAACTGCAAAATCGCCCAAAATATAATGTTTTTTTTTTGGTAGTTTTCCTTGAATGAATCAATGAAAGTATTTCTTAATGTAACCGTTTTATTTTTCCATAATCTGAAAAAATAGTCTGAAACTTTTATGCATTGATTGGAAAAACTAATAAAGCATTATATATACTATTAATTCTCATTGTGCCTATGAATAGTGATGTTTTTCACTTTTGTACTTTTGCCACAAATGTTTTACATTTTGGCAGATTTAGTCCCTGCAACAATGGTTTTCCATTTTGACAGATTTAGTCCCTGCAACAAATGTTTTACATTTTGGCAGATTTAGTCTCTGCAACAAAGGTTATACATTTTGACAGATTTAGTCCCTGCAACAAAGGCTTTAACCTTTTGGCAGATTTAGTCCCTGCAATTTTCTAATTTATAGAAAAGCTCCTTCTAAATTGATTTTTTCAAAAACAGTGCATACGTGTAAGATTTTTATATTTTGGCACGTTTGACCCCTGTGTACAAAACTAATTACAAAAATTGTCCCCGTTGGCTTTTACTAAATTGCAGATAATACATAAAAAGAAAGAAAAAAAAACCCGACCCCATATGGGTTTTTTTCTACATAGTAATTAAACCGCAAAACCATCGAAATTATAACTTATTTATTTATTTGTTGTAGAGAGAATCCGGAACTTTACATGGAGCAATTGCGAATAAAATACAATGATTTATCTGAAAAAGTGGAACAGAGAAAAAGACAAAAAACAAATGGAAACAACCATGGAAATGAAAACAATAATGTGTCTGGAGGTGTTGGCCGTGGAGAGAGACTGAATGCTGCCCAAAAGGAGAGAATGCGTCTTTTGACAACCGCTGCTTTTGATAGAGGGAAGGGGGAGGATACTTTTGGAATTAAAGATGAAGATTGGCAATTATATAAAAAAATGAGTAAAGATAATGATGACGAGGATGATGGCCCCAATGAGGATGAAGCTGAGCTCACACGTGTTGCTTCTAGACTCCGGGTCAGTTGTTATTTATTTATTTATTTTTAAATATGTACAATGACTGTTTTACCCTTCATCGCTTGCAAGGAGCCCAATTCTCACAAAGAGCCCAACCAAAATGATTACAATGACCATATTGGTAGTGTAAAGGAAATGTTAAATCTTTATCTCCATAAAAGTAACATTAGCCAAAAAAGAAATGTGTAACTTGAGTGTTTTACCCTTCATGGATTGCTTTAAGTACACGTGCCCAATGCAATTAATGAGCCTAGCCAGAATGTGTGGATTGACCGTTTTACCCTTCATGGCTGGCAGCATAAGAGCCCAATGCAAACAAGGAGCCATCCCAAAGTGTAAATGGACCTTTTTACCCTTTGGCTGGCATAAGAGCCCGGTCAAAATGATTGAAATGGCTGTTTTACGTGTAAATGAATGGCTAATCTTAATCTGTAAAAGTAAAATTAGCCAAAAATCTTGAGAATGTCCGTTTTACCCTTCATAAGAACCCAGTCCCCACATGGAGCATAGCCACAAATGACCGTTTTACCCTTAATGGTGCTAGTGCCTACAACGAGCCCAGCCAAAAACATATAGTTTGACAATTTTACCCTTAATAGCAGGCATAGAACCCTAGTGCCCACATGAAGCTCAACCAAGTTGTGCAAATGGACTGTTTTACCCTTGTTAGATGAAAAAGCCAAATCTTTTTCTTTTTAATAAAACTAACATTACTCAAAAACATGTAAAATGACCGTTTTACCCTTGAATGACAGGAAATAGACCCGACATTCTTTCCAAAATCGGAAGCCAGCTCCTCCGGCAGCGAACCACCACGTTTCCGGCCTTTAACACAGGAAGACTTCCAGATTCTGATCGGAGTGGAAAGATTCCGGTGCCCGGAGATTCTTTTCCACCCAAACCTAATCGGAATTGAACAGGCAGGATTAGACGAGATGGCTGGGGTATCAATGCAAAGGCTGAAATCAAGAGCTCAAAGATTGGATTTGGAAGAAGAGGCGATGGGAATCACCAATTCCGTCCTCATAACCGGTGGGAGTTGTCTTTACCCTGGAATGAGTGAACGTCTAGAAGCCGGAATCAGAATGATGAGGCCATGTGGGACCCCCATAAGGATCCTTAAAGCATCGGATGCTGTTCTTGACACGTGGCGTGGTGCTGCTTCTTTTGCATCCACCATGCATTTCTCACGACAAGTTTTTAATAAGATTGATTATTATGAGAAAGGTGAAGATTGGCTTCGTCAATACCAATTGAAGTATACATTTTAATATTTTAATTTTCTATTATGTCATATCTTGTTTATAGATTTAAATATAACCTATTTAGGTTAGCTGGTTAATCCCTAATGGTCATTGCATGGGACTAATTAAACTTTCCTTTAACTATTTTTCCAATTTGTTTTCCTTTTTCCAAATGGATAAATTGGTGATGATGTATGTTTGGATGTGTGTAACATGAAACGAAATACAAGATACGAAACAAAATTAGGACGAAAATCGAATTTCAAATTCGTGTTTGTGTCATGTATAAGAAACACGACACCGTTTTGTGTTATGTTCGTGTTCAAAATTCATCAAGCTAATAACACAAAAAGTTGTGTTTGTACTCAAAAGTCGTGTAGATTTAGTAGCATTCTATGTTTATATATTACTCAAAAGTCGTGTTTCAAAATTCATCAAGCTAATAACACCCATCTTCCATCCCGTTTGATCACTCAAACCCACACTCAAATACCACCACTTATAGCCTTCCATTCACGTTTTTCTACTGTCCTTCCCCTTTTCCTTCACTACTGAGAAACACCACCACCCCTAAGGGTGGTGTTGCTGTTGTTGTAACCCAAACACCTCATCGAGTGTGGCCTGTTCGAAGTGAGAGCCAATCTTCTTCTCCAAGTGTGAAATTATACACTTTCAGTTTTGTGAAGGAACATGTCTTTCAGGTGTTTTATCGAGCACTTGGAGTGCATTGGTGGTGAAGTGGGTTTTGCCAATAGTCGGTTATTTTGGCATCCGGTGGTTCACGACGAGAAGGAAGGGGAAGGCTGTAATGGTTGATGGTAGTGAAGGTGGGTTAATATGGTCCTTAATTATTTTGGAGAGAGAGAGAGAGAGAGAGAGAGAGAGAGAGAGAGAGAGAAGAGAGAGAGAGAGAGAGAGAGAGAGAGAGAGAGAGAGAGAGAGACCCTTGCATATTAAATATTATTTATTTATTTATTTAACAAAAAGTAATTGAAATACCTCATAAATGGTCCATGTGTAGTGAAATGACAAAAATGCCCCTGACTTAACGGTTAAATGGTAATAGAGTTAGCTGAAAGGACCAAATGCTAAAAGTTTTGAAACCACAGGGACGATCCGTGAGGTTTTTGTAAATTAGGGACCAAATTTGATATTTTTGAAAACCACATGGACCATTTTTAAGTTTTGTCTTTTATCAATGTTCTAACTAGTGCGTCATGGCTCCAAGGTTTATATTTGTCGTCAAGCTTTGAAAAAATGTAGTTAAGTCATATATATATATATATATATATATATATATATATATACACACACACACACACTAAATTGCTACTTTAAGTCACGCTTTACAAATGATGTGGTTTGTTACAGCTTAAAAAAGCTTGAGGTTTGACATTGCCGCTAAATCACTATCAAGGATAATCGCCAATTATGATCAAGCTTGTACATATATTTCTTTGTATTTAGATTACAATCATTCCATGTATAGTCTCTAATTTCTGACTTACCTTTTGTACAAATCTTGTACATATATCTCTTTGTATTTAGATTACAATCATTCCATGTATAGTCTCTAATTTCTGACTTACCTTTTGTACAAATCCCTATATATGTACCTATGTAATCAGTGAATAGAATATGAATTACAAGCCTGCTTATGGTATCACAGCTTCACCTACTCTAACAAGTCTCAGCTTCACCCACTCTAAAAACTCTCGATCTTCTCTTTTTCTCCCTTTCGAAACTCTAATTCTAATAGCTCTCATGGTACCTTCTGAAACCATCATTCAACTTACAGCCGCAAGTCACTTTCCAATCAAACTCACAACCAAAAACTTTCCAGTGTGTCGCAAGCACGTCCAATCAGCCCTTATTGGCCTTGCCCTGGACGATTTCATTACTGACACTACAACAACACCATCTAAAACTCTCACCAAAGACGCCACCACCACGCCAAACCTTGCATACACACTCTGGTACCAGACAAGACCATATCATCTTCAGCGCCATACTTGGCAGTTGCTCTGTTGCGATTCACTGGACCCTCACCTCAGCCTCCTCTGCAAAGGAAGCTTGGGATCGACTAGGTACAAGTTATGCTAGTCAATCTCGATCCATAATTATCTCCCTCAAATCTAAACTCGTAAAGAACCCTAAAGGAAATCACCTTATTGTTGATTTTCTCAATGACATGAGGATGATTGTAGATGAACTTGCAATTGCACAAAGCCCCATTAATGAGGAGGATCTCATGGTTCATATACTAAGTCAACTTGGAGATGAATATGGACCCATCACGGTTGCCCTCAAGATTCGAGAAACATCCATATCTTTATCTGAACTCTTTGACAAATTAGTTGATTTTGAACGATCTCTCAAGGAAACAGATTCAACCCCGCTCATTGCTACTAGCAATTACAACCAGGGAAGACCAATAACCAACCTTCTTTTGATTCTCAACCTTAGTCACAAAACTTCAACCGCTTCAACCCTGACAGTCAATCATGCACCAACTGTCGGAACAACAACAATTAGTACTGCAACAACCACTCTTCCACTTACCATCACTTCTGTCAGATTCCATGTCATAAAATTCATGACTGTAGAAAGTTTGTTTGTTTTCTTAAAGATCAAAATATCACTGGAACTCATCACTCTCAAAATTATGTTGCCAATGCCACATCATCCAGCTCCAATTCAACTTATGTGAATGCTCCATGGTTGTTTGATATTGGTGCTTCACTCCATCTCACTTCTGATCGAACCTCTCTTCATCATGTCTCTGAGTATGGTGGACCGGACAAAATTCTAATTGGAGATGGTACATCTCTGTCTATTTCCCATATTAATCACATAAACATTAACACATCCACTCGTTCTTTAAACTTGTTTGATGTTCTGTTTGTTCCTAATCTACGCCAAAAACTCATTTCTGTTGCTAAACTTTGTCGCACTAATCAAGTTTCTGTTGACTTTATTCCCTATTATTTTGTTGTCAAGGATCTTTGCACAGGGGAGCTTATTATGTGGGGGAGAACCGAAATGATGCTTACTATGCTACTCAACTCTCTCCTCCACAAATCAACACCACCATCAAATTGTCGTCTCTTGATCTTCACCACGTTTTTGGTCATCCATCTTACTCCTGTTTTTAAGTCTCTTGTTAAAGACTTAGGTCTTCATTTTTTTGTATGAATTTTCATTGTGCATCATGTTTAGTTAATAAAGCCACAAACTTCCTTTTGGCCTAACTCCTTTAATGACACTCAACCTCTACAACTTATTTACTAAGATGTTTGGGAGCAGTTAAAAAATCTTTTGATAAATTTGCCTATTATGTCATGTTTGTTGATTATTATTCCAAGTATGTTTGGCTTTATCCTATTAAAAAAAATCAGATTTCTCCAAAATATTCCCACAATTTAAGCTTTTAGTGGAAAAGTTCTTCCAACAACCCATTATCTCCATGTTTACTGACAATGGTGGTGAATATCAAGCTCTTATTCCTATATTTCAGTCTATAGACATCTCTCACTATACCACACCCCCGCATACCCCTGAATAGAATGGGATTGTTGAACGCCGTCACCGTTACATAGTGGAAACGGGTTTGGCTCTCCTACATTTTGCGGGTCATCTTCTTTCTTTCTGGTCCCATGCATTTCAAAAATCGGTTCATCTCATAAAATGCCTACCAACCCCTATTTTAAACTCCAAAAGTTTGTTTGATGTTCTATATGGTCACTCTCCCAACTACACCAAACTTAAGCCATTTGGTTGCCTTTGTTATCCATGGCTTCGTCCCTACACCCCCCTCAAAGCTTCATCCATGATCCACCCCGTGCCTTTCCTTAGGTTACTCCACATACAAGTCTTCATACAAGTGATATTATCTTGACACCCACCGTATTATCACTCCTGGCACGTTGAGTTTGTCACAAACTAGTTCCCTTAAAAAGTTTTTCCCTCTACAAAATCCATTATTCCAACTACCGACGAGTTCTTCACACTTACATCTTTACCCTCTAGCCCCCCATCCCATCCAAACCCCACCAACATGGTCAACCCCACTACTGTTCCACTCACTCCCATCAACCCCTCACCTTCCGAACCAACCTCTCCTATCATCTTTGATCCGACCTCTACTACTATCTCTAAATTGGCCTCCGGCTCTCCCTAATCACCCAATGAGCCTCAGTCACCACCTTCCCCATATCATCGCCACCTCCATCACCAAATCAATATCCCAATCGTACCACTCGCCTACGTAAACCCAAATCTAAATATTTTAATTCATCTTTTATCAACAACATAATTGTTCATCCTAATTCTGCTACCCTTAACCGACCACTCCTACCCAAGCTTCCAAAGATCCTATATGACGTCAAGCAATGGAGGATGAATAGGATTCTTTGATTCATAACGCCACGTAGGAGCTAGTTCCTCCAAGATCTCATCATCCAATCAGTTGCAAGTGGGTTTTCCATATTAAAAGACACCCTGATGGTACTATAGAAAAATACAAAGCCCGTCTTGTGGCCAAAGGTTTTTTTATAATAGTATGGGAAAGACTACTTTGAAACTTTCATACCTGCAACCAAACCAGTTACAATACACACATTTCTTTCCCTTGCTCTCTCCAATGATTGGCCCCTCATGCAACTAGATGTGAACAACACATTTCTCCATGGCACATTACAGGAAGAAGTGTACATGGTTCAACCACCTGGCTTTATCAACTTTGACTACCCTAATCACATTTGCAAACTTCGAAAATAACTCTATGACCTCAAACAAATGCCACGTACGTGGTATTTAGACCTAACCTCTTTTTCCTCGAGAATGGTTTTCGCAAATCATAAGCTGATGCTTCTTTATTTGTTTACAATTGTAATGGTATTATGTGTTATTTCATGGTTTATGTTGATGATATTGTTCTCAACGGGAATAATCCATCTTTCATCAAAAAGTTTGTAGATATGCTTGTTCACAGGTTCTCAATCAAGGATCTTGGTCAACTTAGTCAC